TTGAAAGTTTCGCGGGTACTGCGTATGCCAAGTAGTTTGTGCCATTTATGTGTCCACTCAAAATTAGCACTGTTTACACAAAATTGATAACGGTAAACAACAAGCAAAACCTAACGGGATATTTGAGCGCCGCACATTTGAGAGCTATTGCGGCACCAAGTTGGATGCAAAAATTTCACATTATGATCAACTTTCAGTTGAAAAATTTTAACATTTTGTTCAAATCTAATTTTGTGCCATTTATGTGTCCATAGCTGTATAATACTTAAATACTCCATATCAGTAGAATAAATTAATTACACATATTTTATTTAACATTTTCATAATTTTATACAAATATACAAATTCGCCAAAAAAAAGCGTCACAAGGGAACACTTAATTGGTTTGACAGCACTTGCAGCAAAAATTAAAATTGCTAGTGCAGCACGAGCAAGTTGAAATTATTGCAGTTACACCTTGCAATTTTTATTTCCGAAAGTGATTTCTGCAAATCTGCAAAAAGGACTTTCTGGCTGTTTACACGGAAAGAAGACTCTCGATTTCGCATTTTGACAGCGAAACGCGTAGAAGAAGCGCTTGCATTGCCACGTTTAACCGCACCTTTACACTTGCCCGAACTGCGGTAAAATCTAAGATTTACCAACCCATGTTTATAAGTCTTAATATTTACTATAAACTCTAAGCTTTACCAATATACGCGCATTTACGGTAACAGATGTAACGTGCTCGATCTTTTTGTTGTTGTAGCGGCTACAACAACCCCGCCCAGATCGGGAGGCTCGGCATGGAAAAAAATCCTTTCCATCCGGCCGGGTTGCTCTGGATCCAATCCACTCAGACAGCTTGAAACACCAATCCCCGAAGCACCGTCCTCCTACCCTATCAAACAGTGCTGCTCTGGATCTAGTTCATTCAGACAGCGTGTATAACATCGGAAATCCTCATCGAACCGAACCAACAATATGAGAAGTGAGGGTGCACATTGGAAACTAGTCCTTTCCAACTGCCCAAACAACTGAAGTTACAATAAGAGAAGTAAAGGTGCTGATTGGAAACTAGCGCTTTCCAACTGCCCTAACAACTGAAGCAGCAATGTGAGAAGAGAGGTGCAGATTGGAAACTAGTGCTTTCCAACTGCCCTAACAACTGAAGAAACAATGTGAGAAGTGAAGGTGCAGATTGGAAACTAGTCCTTTCGAACAGCCCTAACAACTGAAGCAATAATATGAGAAGGGAAGGTGCAGATTGGAAACTAGTGCTTTCCAACT